TCTCACTCTCTGGTAAGTCCCTCGGCCGTGCACTCAGCTGCTGCGCTATATCCTGCAATTCCCCGCGTGTCGCAGCTCTCTCCGATTTCTCTCCGCCAATTTCTTGTTGCGCACTCGTCGCTCGCGAGAAATCGAAATTGCAATTCCAAGAATGAGACGTCCGCCTTCGGCACACAAGATTTCATCATTCGATACTTGGGCGTGGGGATCGACCCACTTGATTGCCGGCTTGGAGGCGTAACGGCCCCCCCTCGCACGCTTGGCTTCACGCTCCACCGTTGTGCGGGCTCACACGCTCAAAAATTGAATTCGATTTCCGCAGTCGTCGGTCGACTTAGCCCTGCTCGCGCTGTGCCGAAGGCGGCGGCCTTCGCCTCTGGCCAATTCTCGATTTTTCCCTTTCCGCATTGCCGAAGGCGTTGACCCGCAGCGCCAAAGGCGTACCCTTGAAGATGTCTGTCGACGTAGGTGCATCGCCGAAGGCGCTTCTGCTGAAGGCGTTGACCAAAGTCAATGTGTCTTGTCCTTTCCGTTGATCTGTTTTGTCCCGCCGAAGGCGCTCTCGCCGCAGGAGTTCTATTCCGCCGAAGGCGCACGTGTCCGCTTAGGACGTACCGCCGAAGGCGTACCGTATGGAGTCGCTTCCCCCGAAGGCGTTGATCTAATATTGATGTGCCGGCGCCAAAGGCGCTCAGGCGAAGGAGTACACCGCCGAAGGCGTTGATCCGAAGGCGCTTCAGCCGAAGGCGTATCGTCCGTCGCCAAAGGCATTCTGCCGAAGGCGCTCCCTATCAATAACTTCCGACATTCATAATTCAGGAGTCCCTTATCCGTTTCAAGATTTCTTGGGCTTGTTAGAACGAGCGCGTCGAGCTCTTTCCAACAAGACCCTAACAAGATCAAGGCGTTATGAATTAGGACAGTCATGAGGGATTTCTCTAGCGCCAAAGGCGTATTGTCCGGCTCGCGCCGAAGGCGCTTCCCCTCAGTAGGAACGGTCCGTTCGGGCCAGGGCGCTTGTCCCGGACATTGCGCCCAACTCGATGATTCTTAATGATTCTACGAGACCCGCGATCATCCATTTTCACTCTATTTTAGTGTACTGATTACTATATACAGTTGCCGCTGCGGTACTGTTTTTCAAAAATGTTTAAATTCCGTACAAAAACAAAAAGTGGGTTACCACATAACTTTCGTTTACTGTATTCGAGAAATAATCAACCTCAATATCCTTTGGATAAAAAAATTAATAAAATCGTATAGTTTGAAACTCAAATCTTGTTTGTACATGTGATTAATGCATACGGTGAACCGATTCAACTTGTTACTCAGCTGTTTCGAAATGTCGCGAACCAACTTTTGAGAATATGATTCGTGTATGAAAATTCATGTTGAGGTTTTTACTAGAAGTTTATAAGTCTTTAGCGGCATCAATTTTTAGGCATCAGCTCAAAATCAATGAAACATGTAATTACTAGAAAACTTCTTTCATCAAGTTCCGAGATCAGTGATATTGTGGTGATCATACCAGGTTATTTAATTGATCTCTATTGTGAATATTTTGCTATGCAGCATGCTTCATCAAATGGCCTGAGAAAAACCATCCATACGATGTTTTCTCAAAATGACCATCTCAAAATCATTATGATACTCATAACACAAGGCATATTTTCTTAATAAATGACGTGAAGTCCTTTCTTCATAAGTTGTGACACTAAGCTTCGAAAGCCATGATAAGAGATATTCTGCAACAAAGATGACTGCCGTCAACATTGCTATTCCAATCAATATCGAACAAACTCATCCTAGCGGAAATACGATCTCCAGATTTCATGCATTTAAAAACATCGAGGTAAAAGCTTCAAAAAATACTGGTAAAATGAATTCAAAAAACATTTCATTACAAGATTTACGATCATAAAGATCAATTATACAACAACCTACATCGTGGAGTAACAGCGAAGAAAAACGTCAGAACTAAAGCTAACGGCTAATTTATTGACAGTGTTAATAAATAGTAATACTAATCTGTGGGGATAAGATATGTCCTTGTAGATTGGATGTGTACTGAACCGTGATTTGAAATAATTATAGCAAAATGAACGCAATATATTTGAGGGTGGAGATTGACAATGCAAGAAAGGTAGGCGAGTTGAAGAATTAAAGTTTAAAATTGTAAAACAAATGCCTTCTGCAAATCCACTGATAGAAGAACATTTTCTCTTTGAATATGTTGATGCCCCAGATGGAGGTGAAGAGTTATAAGTCATTTTTTGAAGTTCGAACGTATTTACTCTTGACAGAATGCTTAAATTCAGTAATACTATTAGATTCAAATTGTATTTTATAGTATCAATAAAGTTCGAAGGATAGCTTAACGGGGTGCTGTTGAGATAATGTTTTTGAGGTTGTAAATAGTATGTCTATACTTCAAGCAGTCAAATTGACAGTTAAACGAACACCTAATCCAAAATGACTTGCTGAGATTACCGATGCATAAGTGACTGTCAACCGATACTAGTCGGTGTTTCGGTCGATGACTTCATAGTGCGGAACTTCAGTAACGGGAACTTCTCTCGCACTCACTGTCTCTTATCTGACATTCGACTGCTTCCTCAGTGTTAGCACTCTTCTCTTGTCCACACTTCTGAAGCCAGCGTTCTCAAGAGAATGTTTTTGAAGTTGTAAATAGTATGTCTATACTTCAAGCAGTCAAATTGACAGTTAAACGAACACCTAATCCAAAATGACTTGCTGAGATTACCGATGCATAAGTGACTGTCAACCGATACTAGTCGGTGTTTCGGTCGATGACTTCATAGTGCGGAACTTCAGTAACGGGAACTTCTCTCGCACTCACTGTCTCTTATCTGACATTCGACTGCTTCCTCAGTGTTATCACTCTTCTCTTGTCCACACTTCTGCAGCCAGCGTTCTCAAGAGAATGTTTTTGAAGTTGTAAAAAGTATGTCTATACTTCAAGCAGTCAAATTGACAGTTAAACGAACACCTAATCCAAAATGACTTGCTGAGATTACCGATGCATAAGTGACTGTCAACCGATACTAGTCGGTGGTTCGGTCGATGACTTCATAGTGCGGAACTTCAGTAACGGGAACTTCTCTCGCACTCACTGTCTCTTATCTGACATTCGACTGCTTCCTCAGTGTTATCACTCTTCTCTTGTCCACACTTCTGCAGCCAGCGTTCTCAAGAGAATGTTTTTGAAGTTGTAAAAAGTATGTCTATACTTCAAGCAGTCAAATTGACAGTTAAACGAACACCTAATCCAAAATGACTTGCTGAGATTACCGATGCATAAGTGACTGTCAACCGATACTAGTCGGTGTTTCGGTCGATGACTTCATAGTGCGGAACTTCTCTCGCACTCACTGTCTCTTATCTGACATTCGACTGCTTCCTCAGTGTTAGCACTCTTCTCTTGTCCACACTTCTGCAGCCAGCGTTCTCAAGAGAATGTTTTTGAAGTTGTAAATAGTATGTCTATACTTCAAGCAGTCAAATTGACAGTTAAACGAACACCTAATCCAAAATGACTTGCTGAGATTACCGATGCATAAGTGACTGTCAACCGATACTAGTCGGTGTTTCGGTCGATGACTTCATAGTGCGGAACTTCAGTAACGGGAACTTCTCTCGCACTCACTGTCTCTTATCTGACATTCGACTGCTTCCGCAGTATTATCACTCTTCTCTTGTCCACACTTCTGCAGCCAGCGTTCTCAAGAGAATGTTTTTGAAGTTGTAAATAGTATGTCTATACTTCAAGCAGTCAAATTGACAGTTAAACGAACACCTAATCCAAAATGACTTGCTGAGATTACCGATGCAGAAGTGACTGTCAACCGATACTAGTCGGTGTTTCGGTCGATGACTTCATAGTGCGGAACTTCTCTCGCACTCACTGTCTCTTATCTGACATTCGACTGCTTCCTCAGTGTTAGCACTCTTCTCTTGTCCACACTTCTGCAGCCAGCGTTCTCAAGAGAATTTTTTTGAAGTTGTAAATAGTATGTCTATACTTCAAGCAGTCAAATTGACAGTTAAACGAACACCTAATCCAAAATGACTTGCTGAGATTACCGATGCATAAGTGACTGTCAACCGATACTAGTCGGTGTTTCGGTCGATGACTTCATAGTGCGGAACTTCAGTAACGGGAACTTCTCTCGCACTCACTGTCTCTTATCTGACATTCGACTGCTTCCTCAGTGTTATCACTCTTCTCTTGTCCACACTTCTGCAGCCAGCGTTCTCAAGAGAATGTTTTTGAAGTTGTAAAAGTATGTCTATACTTCAAGCAGTCAAATTGACAGTTAAACGAACACCTAATCCAAAATGACTTGCTGAGATTACCGATGCATAAGTGACTGTCAACCGATACTAGTCGGTGTTTCGGTCGATGACTTCATAGTGCGGAACTTCAGTAACGGGAACTTCTCTCGCACTCACTGTCTCTTATCTGACATTCGACTGCTTCCTCAGTGTTATCACTCTTCTCTTGTCCACACTTCTGCAGCCAGCGTTCTCAAGAGAATGTTTTTGAAGTTGTAAAAAGTATGTCTATACTTCAAGCAGTCAAATTGACAGTTAAACGAACACCTAATCCAAAATGACTTGCTGAGATTACCGATGCATAAGTGACTGTCAACCGATACTAGTCGGTGTTTCGGTCGATGACTTCATAGTGCGGAACTTCAGTAACGGGAACTTCTCTCGCACTCACTGTCTCTTATCTGACATTCGACTGCTTCCTCAGTGTTATCACTCTTCTCTTGTCCACACTTCTGCAGCCAGCGTTCTCAAGAGAATGTTTTTGAAGTTGTAAATAGTATGTCTATACTTCAAGCAGTCAAATTGACAGTTAAACGAACACCTAATCCAAAATGACTTGCTGAGATTACCGATGCATAAGTGACTGTCAACCGATACTAGTCGGTGTTTCGGTCGATGACTTCATAGTGCGGAACTTCAGTAACGGGAACTTCTCTCGCACTCACTGTCTCTTATCTGACATTCGACTGCTTCCTCAGTGTTATCACTCTTCTCTTGTCCACACTTCTGCAGCCAGCGTTCTCAAGTTTGACAGCTGCTTCACACGTATGCAAATATTGCAACACAGAATTGCTTTCATTCGTGCCGATCTGTTTCAATCCGCGTGAGAATTCTTGTCGATGTTAAGTCCCAGCTGATTGAGTACTGTTTCCTTCTGAGAAATTGCAGATTGAAGATGCAGAGATGAACTCATATGTATGATCTTTTAAAAGTTCGTAAGTTAAGATGGAACCCGAAAGAGATCAGCATCAACCTGAAGATGCATGGGAAAGTCTACCTATCGATTTCCTCATGAAGATTCTCAGAGATCATGATCTGCCAATTTCCACTCTTCTGGAATGTCGTTCAGTTTGTAAGAAATGGAGGGAAGTCATAGATGGTCCTGAGTTACAGAACAAAATATGGAAAAATTCTGTTATTGTGTTTCATGAACGTCGTGAAATTGCGGCCCACTTCTGCTGTAGAGATCGATGGATTACAAAAAATCTTACATTTGTGCCCAAGAAGCTAGTCGCTGCTGATGGAGGCCTACTGTGTTTTGGTGAACGATTTTCAACAGAATATGTTATATATAACCCAGTTCCGGACAAAATCCTGCTTTTGAACGTACCTCGTGAAATCAATGGAGAACAAACAGTCATTGATGGTATGCTGAAGTGTAAGGTGGTGGGTTTAGTCGTGGCCCAATCTACGAAAAGCTTCAAGCTGGTTTTGGGAGGAGTTCAAGTAGCAACAGGTAGACGCAGAGCTTTGATTTACGACTCGACGACCGGTACATGGTCGTGGGGAATTCATCCGTTTCCTGAATGGATGGAAGTCGTTTGTGACTGTAGGAGAAGTCTAGTATGTAATAGATGTCTTTATTGGCTCCTATGGGATCCCTATACACACATGATGAAGGCTCTCTTGATATTTGATCTGGAAGAGGGAAAGTGGACCGCCTTGGTAGAGGAATCCATGGAGGCCACGCCAATGGACCTTCAAATGGCTACGTATGAAGGACATGTGTGCCTTCTTGCCAGTAAATGGTCTCCTCTGGAAGGGGAGTTTGAACGTAGGAGCGATGTCGCCAACTTCCTCCGGAATCCCATGGTCCGGAGAATGGATGGAGCTTTGATCAGGAGAGTTAGAAATCTATACTATCGAGCTTTGAACAGGAGACGGAGATTTCTATGGAACATGGACGAAGCAGTGGATGAAGCTGTTTTCAGGAGATTTATAGATCAAAGGGCTCTAGCTTATCACACAGTTTTCAACTTCTACGCCTCAGGAGGCAGTGATGCATTTTTCGTCTTCGATCAAGAAGGTAGAGATCTTGAGGTGTTGAAATATTGGGCTGAATTCGACTGGATATCTTTTCTACCCCAACCTCCTTTTCACTCTAGCAATCGGTTTCAATACTCAGGATACATTATGATCCCCGACGACCCTTGGTGTGCGATAATTCCAAGTCCCAGAGGAAGTGCAGGGCAGGGATGGATAAGACAGCAGGAGTTTATGGACCAGCCAGTTTAAACGAAGGAAGTTATGGAAGACACGTCAGATGTCCTTCAGATAGTTGTGTATGAAGGTCGTGTGTGTTTACTCGCCATGGATATGACTGATTTTGAGTTTCATTGTAGGAGCTATGATGGCAACTTCCTCCGTCATCGAATGGTCCGTAGAATGGATGGATCTCTGAGCAGGAGACCTAGATATATACGTAGGATATATAGAATACGTATATATACATATACATATATATACGTAGGATATATACGTATATATAGAATACGTAGGATTACATATCTTTCAAACTTTATGTTGCAGGAGGCAGTGATGTGTTCTTCGTCTTCGACACATTCGACGACGTCGAAGAAGAAGGTGAAAACCTTGAGGTGGGGAAATACTGGTCTGAGATAAACGTGATCGAATTTTTTACCCAACTTCCTTTTCAGGAAGTCCTTCAAAGTCTTGTATGGGTAATCGAGACGAAATTATTCCGTGGCGCTTGGTGTGCAATAATTCGACTGCCGGGAGTATATGCAGAGCAGGAATGGATAACACAGCAGCGGAGACATCTGTAATAGGAGGTGGGGGATTCTCTCATAGAAGAGGACGTAGTGGAAGTCCGAAGAGAAGTTATAGGAGTCCCATGACAGATCAGCTCACCGAAATATATGTCGCTTGGACTACATCGTATTAGCAACTGGAATGCCATTTTAAGTTCAAGTTAGTCTGGATGGGCTGGTTGTTAAAAAAAATTAAAAATTAAAAATTAAAAATTTTGGGTTTTTTGTATTTCTTTTTTGATACTCTCATCTTCAGTCCCTATTTGTGAGCAGGTTATTTACGTTGATGCGTTATTGATATGAATGTCAATCATAATGAGTAGTGAAGAATGTGAAACTCGATATGCAAACATATAATCTCTTTTCCTTTAATAAACATCACTTGCGAACTTGTAATCAAAGGTTAGTGCTTGTGATGATGGTTAATTATAGGTGTTTTTGTGTCCTAATTATTCCACAATAGCGGAGATTGCTCATTGATATTAAAGCGGAGTTCTGTGAAAGTTCATGAAATGTTCTCACCTGGGACATTATGGATGCACATGTAGCGGAATAAGGCATGAACTTTGATCTTTGTTGTACCTCAAAGACTTTGTTGTAACTCCAAGGCGCCACCAAAAGCCCTAGATAATGTTCATGCACATTAGTACCACAAATCTGATTGGCTTCGAACATGGATATGTATGATGATGTAATTTATGGTGAATGCACAATCAACGTTATTTAATATACTTACGTGTTTAAGAGAGTTTATTTAGTGATCAAAGTATACGCGTATGGAAGAACTCTTTCTCACTTTACCGGTCCAAACGCAGAGTGAAACACAAACCAACTTGTTTAAAGAAGATTCAATATTATCAGATACAGAAAGAGAGAAGACTTCTTTTCACATTGAGTCATGTAAAAATTCATCAATACAAGGTGTGTATAGAACTCAAAATATCTGTATTTAGAGGTATAGCAAGCGATTTTCCATCATCAAGTCTAGAAAATCAAAAGATAATTTATCGTATCTGTATGTATCAATCTAGAAATATATTACAGTTAAGTCTTGGGGAATAGAAAAAAGTTTAATTGAAAGATAACCGTACACCAAATCTAATATGACAAGCAGAACTCTCAGATACGCTGCTAGTCAGTACTATTTCGGTCCGGTACATCAGATTTTAGAGTACACGACGAAATTCTCTCCCGTTGTCTGACCATCGACTGTTCGTAATAGTTACCACTCTTCTCTAGTACACACATTGCACAAATGAAGAAATTGCATCACACATTCGTTCTCATCTGAGCCTATCTTTTTCAACCAGCATGATATTTATGTCAAAATTTAATTGCAACTGACTGATTACTCTTTCCTTCTAAAATGTTACAGATTCGTATCAGAGACGACCTTCTTGTAGATCATCCTTTAAAGCTCGTTCGTTGCCATGGTGTGAGCCTAAACTCCCCACCCTTCAGCGTTTGTAGTCCAGGTGGGGGTTCGAGCTCCCATAATCTAACTTCTCTGATCTCAACCATGTGGTCAAAGTGTATTCAAGACAATGAGATCATAAACACTTGCTCTCTCACAGACAATTATCCAGAACTGAAAATAATAACTTGCTGTCTACTATCTCCACAAGAGCAGCAGACAAGCTCTTTATTACATAAAGATCTAACCCAACTCTGGGTGACTTCTCAATACCACAGCCGCTGTGGTCTATCCTAGCTCCGAGTTCCACTCCCAATTCCTACTCGGATTTCAGTGTCGATTTCTCAACTTCCACCTTCAGACCCCACCAGATTCCTCTCTCAGATTCAACTCTCCGTTTTCAGTTTCAATTTCAGATCCCGACTGTCAGATTTCAGTCTCAGATTTCGCTTCACTCTCAGCTCCCATTCTCAGGTCTTCCACTCGGATTTCAGCTCCCACTCACAGATAACGCGCAGGCTGCCGAAGGCCCTCCATATCAGAAACTTCCGCCGCTCCTAACTCGGTGATGCCTTATCCGTTTCAAGAGTTCTTGGTCTCGTTGGAACGAACGCCGCGAGTTCTTTCCAACAAGACCCTAACTGAGTCAAGGCGTCACACATTGAAAACGTTATGAGAGTTTCACTCCTTCGCCGAAGGCCTTTCCCTGAAGGGACTTCACTAAAGGCACTTCGCCGAAGACCTTGCCCCGAAGGCCTCCTTCCGCACCTCTTGCCCCCCTAACCATCACACCAACTCCTAATCTTGCAAAAACTTCCAGAAAACCCCAAGCATAATTTTGCAAGAGCTTAAATCCAAACTTCTAACTCTCATAAGGGTAAAAAGACATGTGAGCACAGTCTTGTGCTCACACATGGCTCTCCAAAGGAAAGGGGATCAACCTCAAGATCTATGGGACCTATTGAATTACACACTAAGGTTCTCAGAGATCAGGATCTGCCCATTTTCACCCTTGTAGAATGTCAATCAGTGTGAAAAAATGGAAGGAAATCATAGAACCCGGACTTACGAAAGCAAAATCTGAATACAAGGTTTTTCATGATACAAGTATTGACCATTGTAATAACCCACTAAAGGCTAAAACTGCAATATAGTGGTAAAAAGGTCAAACCCACAGAGACAGAGGTAATACACAGGGTACAAAGTGTCACATTTAACAGACTATTGAGGAGTTTGAATTCTCAGGCAACTGTCACTCCCAGAAATACTGCAAGTGTTCACTCGGAGGTCGCATAGTGCAGCGTAGTTCACTCAACACACACACCTGAAACTACAGAAACACAACCTAGAGATCGGTTAGGACCTCTGTAATAACCCACTAAAGGCTAAAACTGCAATATAGTGGTAGAAAGGTCGAACCCACAGGGACAGAGGAACACTGTGGTACCCCACTTTTGGTATTTTTGCGGAATTTAAAACATTTTTGGAAAACTATACCTCAGCAACAGTGTAAATAGCGATCAGTGCATTTAAATGGAGTGAAACTAGATGATCTCGGAGAATCATCTAGAATCATCGAGAATCATCGAGTTGGGCGCAATGCCCGGAACAGGCGCCCGCCCTAAACAATCGACTCTAAAGGAGTTCTCCTTCAGCGCAAGGCGCATAATCCGCCTTCGGCGCTACGCCTTTGGCGCTAGAGGAATCCCTCAGAATCTAATCAATTCCCAAACGCCTTGACTTGATTAGGGTTTCGTTGGAAAGAGCTTGACGCGCTGGTTCTAACGAGCCCAAGAACGCCCGGAACGGATCAGGACTTAAGGAGTTGCGACGGTCGAAAGATACAAAGACCTACGCCTACGCATAGGCGAGGGAAGTTCGCCTACGCACAGGCGAAATAGGGTTTGACGTCGGCGGAAACTCTGCCGAGGCCGCCTACGCATAGGCGGGGAGGACTTGCACCTTTGCATAAGCGGACGGAAATCGCCTACGCATAGGCGCTTCGGCGTCAGCGGGAAATCCGCCTTCGGCCCTAGAAATCCGCCTTCGGGGTTGGAACTTGTACGGCGCCTTCGGCGCCAGCGCATCACGGTTGGGCGAGGACCCAACGAATTAGTAAAATCCGTACGGACTGTACGGACTGTACGGACGAGTGCGCCTTCGGCCGGGCGGGGTTACGGAGACAAGAGCCTCGACGAAGCGGCGAGAGAGATGGACAGACTAGACGGAGTCCGTTGACCGCGGTCAACGTCTTCGACACAGCCGCTTTCAGCGCTGCGCCTGCGGCGAGGGACCAGCGCGGATGAACGTCCTGTGTGCGGACGGAATTCGCCTACGCATAGGCGAGCGCCTACGCACAGGCAGATGAAGTTCTGCGCCGGCGGAAACTCCGCGCGGGGATTCCTCCTACGCAGAAGGGAGTTCGACTTTTGTCCTATGCGCGGACGAACGCCTTCGGCGAAGCGGGACTAGCCAAGTGAAGTACGAATGAGTGCAGCGCATCGGCTGAAATCCAACGCAACGCCAAGAAATCCAAGTGCAACGCCAAGAAATCCGCCTTCGGCGCTGCGCGACCATGGCCGCGGCGTGGTACGCTGGCAGAGCTCAAATTACCAATTCGAGCGTGTGAGTGAAGTCGGCGTCGGCGGAGCGTGAAGCCGCGCATGAGAGAGAAGGCCGTTATACCGCGGACCCGGCGCGGCCATCAAGTGATTCGACTTTCACGACCGAGAGCCGACCATGACCTCCTACGAGCGGACAGAGGACGCCCATTCTTGAATTTGCGATTTCAATTTCTGGTGCGAGCTGCGCGCGTCCACCTTCTAGCTGAGAGACGTTCTGGACATCACCGCGCGGAGAGTTACTCGGTGGCTAAGAGAGAATTGAGTGCGCGACATTTGGAATTGAGAAAGATTAGAGTTTGCAGAGGAAATAGAATCGCGAGCAAGAGGCTCGGGCAGAGCAGAGAGAGAGTTGCGCAAACCAATTTCAAGAACGCAATGTCAAAATTAATGAGGCTGCGGATGGTGCCACTCAAGCTCCCGCAGAATGGGTTGCGTGCCTTTGAGGACCGGCTAATTACAAGGAAACTCAAATTTCTTGCTGTGGGGATGGAATTACGTGTGCGCAGACATGGTGCGCGAATGGCTGGACGAGGAACGACCACCTACGCGCGGATTACGTCCGCACATAGATAGATGGACTGACCGCGAGCTTTTGGCGGTTCTTCGTCCTTCGTCGTTTCACACTTGGAATATTTTCCAAGTGCTCGGCTACCTGGTTTGTCCTGGCAGTAGTCGAAGGTAAATAGAAGTTCAGGCCCCCAGGGTTTAGGGATAGGGTTTAGCTGCAGAGGGTGGAAGGGGGCAACTCTCTCTGTACAATGCGCAAGTGTTAGGCCTTGGGCTTTTCTTCTTCCACCACTTGGAATTCTTTTCAATCTTCACCAAGTGCTCGGCTACCCTGCCAGTCGCCATATGCTTGTCTCAAAGATGCTCGCTCACAGCGGGATGCCCAAGTGTTCGGCCAACACACTCCCTCTCCCCAAGTGCTCGGCTACCTGGTCCCGACAGCGCACTCAGAAGAATCTCTTCGAAGTCCGTCCGAGCTTCAGGCCCAAGTGTGTGTACCTACCTGCCCACGAAGGTAGGCTGGGCCAAGGTGGGGTGACCCTTAGCACCCCCCTCCTCTTCCTTCTTTTTGCCTTCTTGCTGGGCTGCCGCTCTAGGCGAGCTTCGGTGCCTTGCCTTGCCTCGTTGCTGCTTCTAAACACTTGGGAAC